AGGCTACGGGGAGACCTGATTGCGGCCTTCCAGTACCTAAAGGGGGCCTATAGGAAAGATGGGGAACGTCTTTTTAGTAGGGCCAGCTGTGTTAGGACAAGGGGAAATGGTTTTAAACTAGAACAGGGTAGGTTCAGGCTAGAGGTAAGGAAGAAATTTTTTACAATGAGGGTGGTAAAACACTGGAACAGGTTGCCCAGAGAGGTAGTGGAGGCCCCATCCCTGGAAACATTCAAGGCCAGGTTGGATGGGGCTCTGAGCAACCTGATCTAGTTAGCAGTGTCCCTGCTCACTGCAGGGGGGTTGGACTAGATGACCACTAGTGGTCCCTTCCAACCCTAAACATTCTATGATTCTATGATTCTAAGAATGAAGGACTGCAATTCTGATTCAGCTCACTGATCCAAACAGTTGACTATCGTGTGCCCAGGAATGGTCAAAACCAGCTCCACACCTCCCATTATTCATCGGGGTGCTGGGGTGACTGGGGTCCCCCATCTCATAGGGACCCAGGGATGGGGACAGAGGGGACAGTAGGGACCCCAGCTCCCCATAAATGGGGGGGACAGGGGTTCCGCCTTTCTCAGGGATTCAGGTCTTGGGGCAGTGGGGGTCCCCAGTGGTCCCAGGGGTTCAGGGACACTGGAGTCCCCAGTTCCCCAGGGACTGGGGTTTGAGGGACATTGGGGATGTCAACCTCTCCAGCTTCAGTATTTAAAAAATAAAAAGATAAATCCTTAAAAAGGTTAGAGATGAGGACAAGGGAGGTTTAGGGGTGGGAGCTGGTTTGGGGCCTCTCTTGACTTTTACTTCAATTTTCAATTCTTTCAGCTTAAAAAGCACCATCCTTGATTTTTGTTTTTTTTTTTTTTTAATTCAACCTCACTCACACCACCGGGACAAACCGCATGCCGGTGGCAGAGAGGGGAACCACCATGAGAGAGCATGGCACGAATTCATGACATTTCGACCCAAAAGGACACGAGCAGCTACCCTGGGGAGAAGTTTGGCCTTGACTTCCCCTAGATTTGAGATCAAAAAAGGGGAAATTGGACAAAAGGAGGAAACTGCTTGCCCCGAGAACAGGGGAACCGGAGCGAGGGACGTTCAACTTTTGGCTGCGTTTGCTCTTCCCGGGGTGCCTCTACGAAATTCAGCTGAAATCAGTCAGCAGCGAAGCGATTCAGAAGTTCTAACTTTCGTTTTCTGCGATAGCCAGCCCAGGGGATGCCTGGGCTTGAAGCCCTGAGGGCGTTTGGGCAACGCAAAGAATTTTCCCGAGAAGGAATAAAGGAAACTGTGCCCCCCCCCCCCCCCCCCCCAAAAAATGAGGATTTTCACAACGCGAAGTTTCTCGTGTTAAAAACGCAAGGACTTGACGCAAAACCACATGAAAGAATTTCCACCGGCCAAAAGAAAAAGTGAAATTTAGGTGCTTGCCTCTGTCGCCAGCCATTTTGGTGTGAAGCCTCAAAAACCCACCTCCTCGGGCAGGTGTCGGCCTCATTTGGGGAGAACAGAGTGTGGTTTTTTTTTTTAACCAATTCCTCCAAAAATCCACAGGGAAGGGGGCTGCGACGCGTGGTGAGGGGCTGCCCAAGCGCATTGGCTGCTCCAAAGCTCCTGAGTGCGCAGATTTTTATATTTTTTTTTTTTTTCTAGGAAATCAGAATTATGAAACGCAAGCATTTCCTTCCCTCCTTCCCCCCCCCACCTCAGGATGAGATGACGCATTTTCCCCGCTGCATAAATTGGGGTAAGATCCAAAGAAAAAGGATCAGAGATGTCGCAAGGCGAAGGTGCCGTCGGCACCTACAAGAAATGGGATTTTAACGAGGAAATGGAGTCGGAGAAGCAAGAGCGGAGGAAAGCGCCTAAAGGAGGTATGGGGGTGAAGGAGTGGATTTGAGGCTCTAGAGACGTAAAACTGGAAGGTTTCAGCCCTTTCAACCATTTTTTCTCTGAAGCTACAGTCAAATTTTGACACCTGGGCCCTCCGTTGGGTCACCATCTAGAAAAAAAAGAGGTTTGAGCGCAGAGAACAGGGTGGTGGAGCCACTTGCGAGGTCGTTTTGGGGGGATCTCTCCGCTTTGTGCTCTTCTTTAGGAAAATATCTGTTGCGGGGGGAGTTATTTGGGGCTGCCTCACCCCATTTTATCCCTGGCAGTGCTGTCCCTCCTCGCCGCCGCGTCTCCGGAGAGGGCGATGGCACGGCTGTACGTGCTTCTGGCTCTCGCCTTCCTGCTCTTCATGGTTCTCACCATCGTGAATCTCCGGAGAGGTGAGTCCACCGCGCGCCCCCTTGCACCCATCGCCCCTGCCGAGCGTATGATTTGGGCGGGGGGGGGAAAACACCAGCGGATGAAGCAAAACACGGTTCCAAGTCAGGATTGAAGGCCCCCGTGAGCTCTCCGGGGGCCGGATCCAGAGTGAAGGCGAGTGCTTTCTTCCTCTCTCCCAGTATCCGCCGTGTGGGAGGCGTTGGAACAAGCCCAGATGCGGAGCAAGAGCAGCCACACGACGGCGTGGCACAACCTCTCGGAGGTCCAGCGCACCCTCGGTACGACATCTTGCCCCAAAATGGCTGCGCCCTCGATACCTGCACAGATTTCCCCCCTCCCAGTGCTTCCTGGGGTGCCTTTTCCGGGGAAAAAAAATTGACGAACCAAAGCCGTTTTCCATCGGGACAGCGACGGTCAGGGCTTGTTTTGAGTTTTCTCCTCTTATTCTCCTCTTAGATAAACAGCTCTCCAGCGACCTCAAGGCGATCCATGGCCGACTTCTGAACGGTATGCCAAGGAAAAAGCATTTTTGGGGGGAAAATAGGGGCAGAATCCTGAATACCGGCCGCAGGCAGCGGTGCGATGGGGTCGAAAGCGGCGTTTTGCCTCCTTCCAGTGTCGCAAGAAGTGGAGAACATGCAGAAGGTGATGTGGCAGAAAGAGGAGTGCGGGAAGGAGCTATCGGATCGCCTCCGTGCCCTGGGTGAGAGCCTGATTTGTGATGGAAAATCGTTAAATTTGGTTCTCCTTGATTCCCAAACCACGTGCTATCGGATCGATGCTCCAAAGATTCCTAAAAATGGAATTCTGGGAGGGCACGAAGGCGATTTTAATGAGTTGGAGAGATCGTTAAGTATAATACTGAAGGAAAAAAGCCCTTCTCAGCCTGGTGATAAACACAATAAAAAGCTCATTTAACGAAAGGGCTCTGAGGTTTCACCGCCTGAAGTTTAGAGCGTGGTAACTCATGCCAGGAAAACACCCAGCGAAAGCCACGGTGTAAACTGGGACGGAAAGGAAAAGGGGAAGGGGAGACAAAACCCAAGGGGTTTGGGGGGTTTTTTTTTTAGGTCTTTGTGGCAGCTTAATTACCTTTGGTTTTTTTTTTTTTCTTTTTCCCCTCCCTGGCAGAGGAAAGGGACGCGCCGGAGCCGGTGCTGCGGCAGCTGGCGGAGGTGAAGCAGGAGCAGAGCCGTGCCTCGGCGCTCCTTGACGCGGCGCTGGAGGAGACGCGCAACCTCTCAAGTGAGGGTTGGTGGTCGGGCTGAACCCGCGCGCGTCCCCTTTGCGCTCACCCTCGTGTTCTTCTTTTTTATTTATTTTTTTTTTAAATTTTTTTTTTTTTTTCCCCCCCCTCAGAAATTCTCTGCGCGAGTTGTCCCGACGGCTGGCAGCAATTCGCCAAAACCTGCTACTTCTTCTCCACCATCGCCAAGCCTTGGCTGGAAGCTAAAGACTCCTGCGCCGAATTCAACGCCCACCTGGCCGTCGTCAACACTGAGCAAGAAAACGTAAGCTTAGAAATCCCATAAAAAGCAGGGAAAACCCCCCGGATTTCCCAAGTTTTGAGGAATATTAGACTCCCAATTCCACAAATGGCAAGCTGGAGGTTAAGCCCGGCTGACCCAAAACTGCCCGCAGAGGCAGGAAGATGCAGCCAGCTGAGGTTCCTCCTTGGTGCAATCCCTTCAATTTGGCCAAATTGCATGAATCTGTCCTCAAAATGGCTCAAAAGGGGGTGGTTTTTTGGGGGGGGGGGGGGAGAAAGAGGGGGGAGAATGGCGGGCCGGCC